ACTAACATGCACTGTTTTAAAAATGTTTCAAACTTATAAAATTAATTATTGAGGTGCAGCCGATCACAGAGAGTTGTAACATAATTTTTAATACCAGTTTCTTTACAAGAAATGTTCTGTGGACATGTGTATACATGTTGTTATGGAGACATGGGCTGTCAATCAGTTCGGTGGGCAGAGAAACTGCATTCCTACGTCAAATTAAAGTAATTAAAGAGTTTAATTTCTATTGACTATTTGTTGAGATTTATAGGGACTGTAGTAGTATTGTGAAGTAATGTTACTTATTAAATAATTGCATTTCAGACTAAGTAACTATACAATATCATAAGTGAAAACATTTACAATCTTTTACTTGGACTTTTGATTTTGTTGTTTATCTTTATTAATCCCTCATCCAAATCACATTAACTACCCCTGAAGCACATTTTATATGCTTTTGGATTTTTAATTATAAAATCCAACTGTCTTAGCCAGCAGTGCAGATAATAAACTTGATATTTAAACTGTAAATATGAAATGTGACAGTGTGAGTGTTTCCTGGCACGGCATGTAGACACTTTCCCTTTTTTTCCCCATATATCTTTGTGAATTACTGTATTGTGTTTGAGCAGCAGAGCCAGGCATGTCTAATTCTCATGTTACAGAGCAGATCTGCTGCACTACTATCAGCCACTGTGCTGTTCAGCAGAAATTTCACACGCAGCAGTGTCAGCCCGCACTTCTTTGAGTCGGATTTGTGTGCTTATGTTTCAGAGATAAGAAGAGCAACAGTGCGCTTTGTATTTTTTTTAGTGTGTGGGATGCCAGTATCACCATGTGCTTTTTGCTGCGTTTTTAAAAGACCCACTTCTCTCTTAGCATGCGCAGTTACATCTGCTAAAACACATAGATACTGGAGCCAGCAGCTAAAAAAACATCCATGATTCACTTGAGAAGAAATATAGGGAGATAATGAGAAGAGAAGTATAGTGACTGTTCTGAGTGAAAGATTGATAGAGGGAGAGTGAGGGAAGGAGAGAGAGACGCACGTGGTGGTCTTGCTGTGTGTGAGGGTCACTCTGCTATTCATAGCTAAGAGTTTCCTCTAGTGCTGCTTAGGTCAGTTTAAATACTACGACAGAAAGCGTCTCTTTAAAACACAGCGTTTATTATATTTACACACACACATAGACCAAGGAAGCTGTACAGTAAGTGTTTTTTAATCTTTCTGTTTTGAATGTGTGATGTAATTAAATTGACTCGGTTGGTAAATGTTTGGTACGTTGGGTTTAGTATTGTTTCTAGGAGTGAGTTGGTGTTCTCAGTTGTAAATTAAAATTCAATTAAATTCAGACTGTATTTTAAACAAATAATATTCATGGAAAGTCCTCATTCAGATAGCTTTGTAAACGTGTGTGTGCGTGATAGACTCTTGGGTTAACTCAGGTTAACTCAAGGACAATTGGGTTGTAGTAGAGCGGTAACTAGATTTGACCTCGAGAAATACCTAATTTGACCTCATTTTAACCATAATAATGGCTGATTTGGACATTTTGGCTTTTTTGTGTGTTTTGTGAAATAAATATACTTTTGGTGTTTAATTTTAGAGCAAATATGAAATTGTTTATGCTGTCCTTCAGTAGAGTAGATTGAACGTACTAAAACTTAATAACATAATTATTATAATTTATCCATTTCTTAGACTGAGTTCTTAGAACCATTTAAAAATTTTGAATTTTATGGTTAATTTCAAATTTCCAATGAAACAATTCTTCAGTACTTATTTCAAATTATTTTAAATCGATGCTTATATTAAGCTTAAATAACTCAGTTCATGGAGTAATTATTTGCTGGGTGCAGATCACAATATTTTGATGTGTGGTCGTATTTCTAAGATAATGCATTTGGTCTTAGGGGTAGTTCACCCAAAGCCTGTCTTTATTTATTCACCCTGCACTTATCACACACCTGTTTGAGTTTCTGTCCTCTGTTGAACACAAAATAATTTAGTTTGGAAAATGTTGCAAACCGTTGATTTTTTTACACTCAAAAATGACTTTTGCTGCTTGTTCAAACTACTTATTTAAAATAAGTTGAAACAACACAGTTCTTAAGGGTTTTTAGAATAACTGATTTGTTTTATGTTCAATCAACAGTCATTTGTAAAAACGATTAAGTTAAGGGACAACATGAAGGATGTGGAACCCAGCCTTTTTTTTACAGTGTAGTATTAGTTTTTTCTACTATAAAAGTTAATGGTTACACAGGTTTCCAACATTCCAACAACTCATGATGGTGTATCAAACTACTTGAGGGTGAGAAGTTGTGTGAGTAATTTTGTTTTTGGTGGTACCTTTTTTAAGATTACTATGTGCTGTGTACTATGTAATATAAATATTTTTTTGCTGTTTGCTGCAAGATCTGGCAACGCTAATTAATCAAGATGTACCTGGTTTCCTGTGATTTCACTCTTGTGTGCATGGAGAGAAATATTTGTAGAGAGAATCACTGTAGTACACCATTAATAATGAGTTGTTTATTGAGTATATTGAACCATTTTAATAATTCAATACTAGAATAAAAGCAGTTTTTAATAATAATAATAATAATAATTTATATATATATAGGTCAATATTATTAGCCCCTTTAAGCTATATATATATATTTTGATACGAAACAAACCACTGTTATTCATAACTAGCCTATTTACCCTAACCTGCCTAGTTAATCTAATTAACCCAGTTAAGTCTTTAAATGTCACTTTAAGCTGTATAGAAGTGTCTTGAAAAATATCTAGTAAAATATTATTTACTGTCATCATGGCAAAGATAAAATAAATCAGTTATTAGAAATGAGTTATTAAAACTTATGTTTAGAAATGTGTTAAAAAATCTGCTCTTTGTTAAACAGAAATTGTGGAAAAGAATAAACAGGGGGGCTAATAGTTCAGGGGGGCTAATAATTTGACTTCAACTGTATATGCATATTTATAAAAATTAAGTTGTCAGTGAAAAGTTCTAAGTTACAACAGGTTTCCTCACTTTTCTTTTAGTAAAATAAACATTTTAGGTTTAAAGTATACAACATATGCCTTAACTATATGTTAGAATTCAGCAGATAAGCAGCAGGTCGATGTCACTCAGACCTCTTTGAAGGCCCACCGTATTATTAACAACACACTGTGCAGTTCACAGGCTTATCACTCATTCTCACCCTCTGCAAGACGAAGTGGTCTTAAGAGATTTTATCAGCTTTAGTTGGCTAGATATCATCAGCTAAGAAGTCGTCAGCTGGTGATGGTTTCCGTCTTTAGTTTGAGATCATTACACAGTCAAGCTGATAAAAAGTCTGAATGAGGAATCCTTCTCCTGACTGTAATTAGTCCACTTCCATGAAGAGAAATTGTAGAGAGAAACGCTGCTGGAGGCGTGGGCTGATGCAGCTGAAATATTCATTGCATTTTTTATTTTAGCTCCGTTTTCTGCTCATATAGAGCTGTCATGAGCATCAAATACATAAAATGGCTTATCGTGTTTGGAGGTTCTGGCTGTTTTTACATCTGTGTGATCAATTATAATTTTAAATTGGGATGTAACATATTGTAATATGGGTCTTACACACATTTGACTTCATTTTTTGATTCTTCCATTTTTATATAAAATATTATTCTTTTGAAATCACTCAATGTGGCTCAAAAACAAAATATATAATCATCAAATAATGCCAAAGGATCCTCATAAATACTGTCAATTCTAAAATAGCGATATTTTATTTTTCTGGATTTATTATTTAGATTAGTGGTTATCACGATACAGGAATTCGATATCATTCTGTACTTTTACATTTAAACATTCATAACATTCATTTCACAGTCATTTGTGTTTAGCACATAGGCAAATCAGTGCTGTTTAACCCTTTCACGTCAACAATCTCACCGGTCTGTGATTAGAATGTTCAAAGCGTACGTCATCAACTTTTAAAATTAAAATCTTATGGCGCACGCTTAGGCGCAGAAAATGGTGCGCAGCTCTTGTCATACAATCCACTTTCAAACAATAAACATTTATTTTAGGTTTTAGACATTCAAATACACTCATCTAAAAGCAAAACATACCATTTAAGGTTTGTAAAACACACACGGAAATCTATGGAGACAGCAAAAATAATTATTTTTCAATATAACTGGATGATGTGCTTTATTCACGTAAGATATAACTGTTTATGTGACTAGAATATTTTCTCTATTTCTCTCCCAGATAAACAGTTGCTTACTTTCATGTATTTTGGAAGAAAATTATGAATAAACATGACTTAAATCCAGCAGCTCGTATTTCTTCTGCACTTGTTGCGTGAAAGGGTTAAGAACCTGTGATAGGGTTAAGAATGTGCTCATCAGCGCTCACATTTTAGTGGAAATGGACATTTTAAAATTTCTGTACCGACAACACTAATTGCAAAATGTATACAGTTTCACAAGATTTTTTGAGTCTAACAGTATTCAGGTACAGAAATTGAATAATCACCATGCAAAAATGACATTTTAAACATTTACATTGCTTTGTCTCATTTCTAGTTCAAATATCTCAAAATTCTTAATCATGTAAAAATATATATTTTTTTAACTTCAGAAGAGATAAGTCAAAATAATAGTTTTTCCTTAAAATGAGCAAAATTTTCTGCCAGTGGACTAAGTAAAATAATCTTGTTTTCCCTTTTAAATGAAGACATTTAGACCAGAAACAAAGCTTTTTTTTTTTTTTTTTTGCATTAATCATATAAATTCTATATAAATACGGTGATTAAATACAATTCTGTAGCTCCTGGTCAGCTATAATTCAGACTGCGATGTGACTATTTTGGATGCACACATTGTGATATCGATGCTGAAATGATAAATTGTGGAGCCCTAACCAAATGTATTATTCTCTTGACAGAATAAATTTATAAATAACCAAATGCATTTTAATGTAAGTGATTGTTTTGTTTTTCCTTTATCAGTATTTGTGTTTCTATTACAGACGTCGCTAAGCTGAGTTGTGAAAGCGATGCAGGCCCAGGATCTGATCCGGCACCTGCGGATGCCTGAGCTGGATGATTTGAGGCAGTATGTGCGCAGTTTACCCACCAACACCCTCATGGGCATGGGTGCATTCGCTGCCATCACCACATACTGGCTGGCTACCCGTCCCAAAGCTCTAAAACCACCCTGTGACCTCACTATGCAGTCCGTGGAGGTGCCGGTAAGTGAGTAAATGTTTTCTATTGTAAAAAACATTTTAAATAGCAATGGGGAGATGAAATGTATTGATGTCAGGTTATACTTTAAATAATAAATAAAAACCAAAAAAAAGTTTAGTGAGAGAGTTCTTCTATTTTGGCTGAGGAACATTTTAAAAATCTGATCACTTGTTTCAACCTTTTGTGCTGTTGAAAAGTTCCATGGATGTAAAATTTCTTTCCTGAACCATCAAGTCTAAATAAGCCTTTTTATTTTATTGAAAATAAAGATTTCTTTTCCCCCATGCGGAATCACAAAGCACAGATTATATTTAGAAGATACCACACTAATACTTGCAATAATATGGTAATTGTTTCTTTTTAAGACTTTTGATTTTGCGATTATGCTATTATGAAAGCTGATATACAGTTGTTTTTGAAGGTAACTTACCAGCTTGAACAAAGATACTAAAAATTTCTTACTTCAAAAATTGGATTGTTTAAAAAAAGGTTTAAGACAGCCATCGACAAATTTTCCTTGGGCAATACAATATATCGTGTCTATGTTGTTTATTATCAAATGATAAATGCTAGTTTGTTTAATGTTAAATTGAGTCAGCTTGTTAAGTATATAATATATTGTGGATTTTCGGTGGATATCGGTGGTCATGAAGGTTTTTTACAGTGAAAAGAGAGCACTTTAATGTTTTATTTTGGGAAATCTAGAATAAAGGAATCTCAATGTTTGCTTGTGGTTTCCTTGTTTTCTGAACATAAGATTTTAAAATGAAATCATTCTTTGATGCGTTGTTTTATTCTTTTTTTTCTTAACCAGACTCTGACAAAATGATATCAAGATTTGTTTTGATTGGCATACAAAGATGAATTACCATGTTTGTAAACATTCTGGATCTGCGCGTAGCAAGATTGCAGAAAAAACTGGGAGCGCTAGCATTTACAGTGAGGGAATGACATGCGATGTGGTACAGAGTTTGTTTTTGTCTAAAAAAAGTTAAATTGATTACATATTATATATATTATTTACATAATGCTTTCAGCGTATTGTCACCCAGTGATAAGCACAGAATCTGCAAAACTAACATTAAAGTGAGCAGCGTTCGTCGGACAGGTCCATCTGCGATAGCACCTTCCCAATGGATATCGGATAAGACAAAATGGCCAAGCATCCAGCCCAAAATATACATCTTTCATGAAACTCCAAGTGATTTTACAAGAGAGAAGTTAAAGAACTACAAGTCTTTGGATGCCACCAATTTTTTTCTGTGTGGTGATGTGCAAGAAATAATGTTCCATGATTACCAGATTCAAAATATGTAGTGCTAAAAAGGTTCTGCCTAGCTAAAGACAAGGAAAAAAGACGGAGCTATACAAAGCCTGGGTAATCCTCAACAGGCAAAACTCCATTCTGACAACAAACTGCACCTGTATTGCTGGGTATAGGAGCTTACACTTTCACATTATATTCTTAGCATTCAGTTTTATTAACCATATGTAACTGTTTTTGCTGAAATCATTGCTGCAATCAAAAATGAGTAATGTGTATGATTCAGCATAGCGTGAACTTACCTGATATGAAATGAGAACTGCAAAGTTGAGTATTTTTAATTAGGTCCTTACTTTATTCAGCTCCCTTTTAGCCAAAGACATCTGTGGTTGACATTAAATCAGTGTTGTGTACAGTAAAAGTTTTCTATGTTTGGACTTTTGAATTTGGCATCCAACTGCACAGCACAACATGTTTTCTATTGCAGCCGGTCTCTTTTTGCAACCGGGAACCCGTCTGACGTCATGTGTAACATAGGCTGGTAATTCACCTATTGGTTCCATATAACTTCCATATATAATTGGGTTATCAATAATTAGTTAGTGGTATCGGTCTAAAGTTTCATATTGGTGCATCCTGAAGTTCTGTATTAGAAATAATCAGTTGTCACCTTCTGTGGCGATTCACAGAATTCATAATATACCAAAATAGTAATGTTTGGTTTTTAACAGTTGCTTAGTATTGCTTAAAGAACCTCACTAAACAGAAGCAAATATTTTGAAAAAAATTTATATTTTAAAGACTTTGGGAATCCTTTTTTACCAAACCTAATCTAAAACTTCTTTCATTTTCCAAAACCTTTTCATTTAATGTTCCTCGCTGGAACATGGACTGCTGATTCACGACAACTAAAAACTCATCTCTTTAATGATCAACTTAGCACAGTACAAAAACCCACTTCATTCTCTGAGCACTAACAATTCCTTTGTATAATTAGCTCTTGTTGTTAAGTCGCTACATGCCTTCTCAATTGTAAGACACTTTGGACAAAAGTGTCTGCTAAATGACAAGATGTAAATGTTAACCGATGAAAGAGTCTGATGCAACTTCAGTCTTTTTGTGATTTTATGAATATTTTCAAACTTCCTCTAGAAAGCGGTTGAGCAATACAGACTGTGGCTTTCTTTAGGTTCCTCTCAACATGTAAAGTGGTCGCCAGCTGCACGTCATAGAACTCTGCATGTTCTGTATGAACTTCTAACTGTTTTCTGTTGCCCATCTGTGTCCTGCAACATACCGCATGTTTGAAGTCTTGGTGCACAAAAAGTGGTTTTCTGTAGTCACCATGTCTTCCTGTGTGTAGAAGAACACTTTTAAGCATATACAGTGCCATTCAGAAACTTGATTCAGAAGCAATGCATACAATATTTTAATAGCGATAATAAAGACTTTTCATTTTAAATAAATGCAGTTTTCTTGAGCTTCCTTTTTTAGACAGAATAAAGAAAAACATTTATCATGGAAAAAAAACATTCTTCAATATTGATAATGAGAGCACCAAATCAACATATGGATTTTTGAAGAAAAATGTGCCACTTAAGACCAAGGCCCAATCCCAATTCTATTTTTGTACCCCTACCCCTTAAGGGGAAGGGCTTCAAAATGTACCCCTAAGAATGGGACAGCACTACAACACCTGCAGACGTCATCATATGTCATCACGATCACTTACTTCCTTAAAGATTGATGATGGCGACTGCTGAAGTTATTCCAGTGCTTTATGCTTTATTTTTTTGGTATTTTTGTTTTTTTTGGTATTTTTTTATATTTATCTCCAGGGAATCACTAAAGGCAACAGTATCATGTTAACATAATGATATAATGTGGAAATAAGATCATAACTGTACTGTGCATTTACACCATGGCCATATTGATCTAAAACATTCATTTTAAACACACGAAAACAACATTAGTATTATACCAGACACTGTAAAAAAGTCATTCCCAGCCACTAGATTTTTCTGACAAGCGATTCGAGTCTCAGATGTGAAAGTATGTTGTGGAACTGCTATATAGGAGTTATTATTAGGGATTATAGATAAAAAAAATTTAGCATTTTTTATTTTAGTGTTGTTTTTAAACATGAAGGTAAAACATGAACGTGCAAAACGAGGTGTAGGGGTAAGGGAAGGGCTAAGGGGTAGAATTGTAATCGGTCAATGGCTTAATATATATTTTTGCAATAACAGCAATACAATATATTTAAAATACAATTATTAAAATACAATTTTATTAATATCACTATAAAGAAAATCCTAATTATTACAGGAACTGTTTTTATTTTTACAATAGTTTTCTGTTATTTTATATTATATTCAGTACTCTGTTAAGTAATCAGTATAATCTGTAAATTAACAATTTTTTAAGAATACCTCAGTAATTTTTTTACATTTTATTTGCAGTAAAACTTTTATTAATTAATTAATTAATTTATTTATTTATTTTACAAAAATCTACTGTATTGTTTTAGCAATACTTTTCTGGTTATCTTTTAAACTTTGAACATTTTCCCTTCAATTTTTATTTTATTTTTTTTTTTGTGTGTATTTCTACATTTAAACTCTGTAATTCTACAGACATGTCCTTGTGTCTTTGCCTAATGGGTCTCCAGACTGGAATCTAATAATATGTCACAAAATTATAATTATGATCGTGAGGCATTGGTAAGTATAAAAGGCTTAAAAATTTTAAAAACTTTAGAGACTCCAAACAAGCGGCACATTGGCGCAGTAGGTAGCGCTGTCGCCTCACAGCAAGAAGGTCACTAGTTCAAGCCTAGGCTGGATCAGTTTGCATGTTTTCCCCGTGTTCACATGGGTTTCCTCCCAGTGCTCCAGTTTTCTCCCACAAGTCCAAAGACTTGCTGTATGGGTAATTGGGTAAGCTAAATTTCCGTAGTGTATGTGAATGAGAGTGTTTGGATGTTTCCCAATGATGGCTTGCAGCTGGAGGGCCATCCGCTGCATAAAATACATGCTGGATAAGTAAGCGGTTCATTCTGCTGTGATGACCCCAGAGTAATAAAGGGACTAAGCCGAAAAGAAAATGAATGAATGAATGAATGAGACTCCAAATGTTTTAAATGGCTCTGTGTTGAAAAACACTGAAGAGCCCATCTACAGTCCAAAAACAGACTGGTCTTTCCATCACATTCCTCCTTTCCCTACCTGTATATACTTGTATGTGTACACAGACTCTAACTTTACTTTAGTTACTGTAAAATGACAGCCTCTTTCACCAAGATGAGTTTAATTATAGAAGTATGTCCTTGATCTCTGTCTGTCTTTGGCAGAAAGAGGTTCTTGTATTCTCACCATTTCTTGTATGTTTGCTATGGCAACAAGCTGAAATGTGTTGGCAACAGTTATAAAGCCATTCAGATTCAATGCGCGACGACCATCTGTAAATTCCTGTAGCGTGAAGTCCTTTTCCCTTTCGTGTGGGCTGGTCTTTTAAATTAAACACTATTGTACTGTAAAGTTAAAGTGACCTTTCATTTGTGAATTTCTTTTCTAGAGTCTCTTTTCACTTTCACTGGCTGATTTATTAAGCACACCTTGCTAGTACTGGATTGCTTTCAGAATTGCCTTAATGGATCAGCTCACCCAAAAGAATTAAAATTCTGTTAAGAATTAAACGCCTTCATTCCAATCCCTTCAGACCTTTGATCATATTTGGAACACAAAGTATTTTAGAAGAAACCTCAGGGCTTGCTCATTCTCCACAGACAAAAATGGTTTCTAGATGTCCACAAAATGGAAACCAAAAACGCACATCATTATTTTGCCAAGTATGATGCGATCCTGGATTAATATCTATGTTGATCCTGGAACATCATTTTTATTTGAAAATGTAACCCGTACCTTTTCCCTACCCCTAAACCAACCATAACTGTAAATTATTCCCAAAATAAGGGGATTAATAGTTGGATAACAATCACATAGAAGTGCATGAACCTAACCGTAAGCCAACATAAACAATAAACACATCTCTTAAATCTAATTGGCTGATTGGAATGTTGTTCCATGATCAACTGTTAATCCAGTTTAATCAGGTTGGCAACCAAAAGCATTTTCAAAACATTGCAAGTAACTTTTGCTGCTTGTTTAAATTACTTATTTAAAATTAGTTGAAACGGTACAATTCTATAGCTTTTTTGGGGACAACTTAATTTTTTTATGTTCAATCTTCCTAAATTTGTAAAAACGATTAAGTTAACTTAATCAATTTGTGTTGGCACTACAAGAAGGAACTGTGTGGAGCCCAGCATATCGTTTTGGCAATACAATTCCATGTTATGCTGCTGACTCTGATGGCAATGTTTTACTGCCTGTTGTAAAAATGCACACTGACCTAAGGCAAGAGAGAATATGTAGGCAAACAAATACATATTTACATTTTTTCCAGCAGCAGTAGCACAAAAGTGTTCTAGAAGCTTCATATGGTTACAGTTGAACCACTGAAGTCACATAGAATGTTTTGATTCATTTCCTGCTTGATTTAGCCATCATAAGATGAGTTCACTGTGGTCATAAAGTGATGGAGATGGTCTGTAGTGTAAGAATGGGTTTTAACCACAGCGGTGCGAACCGTAGTTTTGCCAAATGACTAAAAAGTTATCAGTACTGATGATGAACTATAAAAAACTGTACATTTCTAGTCAAACCATTCTTCTGCAATCTTATACCAAACACGGAAATAAGGGCTGTATTAATAGCTTAAAATGTGAGAGAGCATTGCTATTGTGTGATTGTATTCTATTGCAGTATGGAGCTGGGCGGAGTGGCGCAGTGGGTAGCACGTTAGCAAGAAGGTCGCTGGGTCGCTGGTTCGAATATCGGTTCAGTTGGCGTTTCTGTGTGGAGTTTGCATGTTCACCCTGCCTTTGCATGGGTTTTCTCCGGGTGCTCCGGTTTCCCCCACAGTCCAAAGACATGAGGTGCAGGTGAATTGGGTAGGCTAAATTGTCCGTAGTGTATGAGTGTGTGTGTGGATGTTTCCCAGAGATGGGTTGCGGCTGAAGGGCATCTGCTGTGTAAAAACTTGCTGGATAAGTTGGCGGTTTATTCCGCTGTGGCGACCCCGGATTAATAAAGGGACTAAGCCGACAAGAAAATGAATTAATGATAAATGACAATAATTCTCTATGGTTACAACTGAATTACTGAATCAAAATAACTGTATAAAATAATAAAATATGAAATGATAAAACATGATATAAATTTTACCCAGTTTAAATTTAAATACAGTTACCAGAGGTACAAGGAGAGACAGGGGGAGGGAGAGACAAAGAGAGTCAGAGAAGATAGCCTCCAGAGCAGGAGAGAAGCAGACCAGCAGAGCACAGAGACAGAAAAGAGGCAGAGCCAATGTTTACCAGCTATTTTGTCTCTTTCTTGACCATGTGACCAAAGCCTAAACACTGAGACATTCAAACTGACCAATCAACATGTGACCACATCGTAAAACCCCCAAAGTCCACACACCAGGCCCTGATCTTATCAGTATCTGCCTTTGGAATTTGTGTGAGTCTCCTTTAGTAAAAAAAAAACATCTGTCATCTTCAGACTTCCTGTCTAGGTTGTTGCAGGTATAAGATTGGTCAGTTTTTGTTGTCCTTCACCCTGTGTGAGAGGCTTAAGTCCTCAAAGCAGCAATACTCAGAAAGGCTGATCCATTTCAGCAATGTTCAGTTAGTATGAATCAAACGTGTGGCAAGAAAATCTCCGCTACACCATCAGCACCCAAAACCATTTATACAGCAGGATGGATTCATCCCAGCAGGAACACAACATCATTAGACAATAATATTTCAAGAGTTCACACTTAGACATTGCTTGATATTAATAGCAGGTTTGACATGCTGTCCTGGGAGAGAACCTTGAGCTTGGACATAATTAAGCTCAAGGCTTCTGCCTGGTCGATGAGCATGTAAGGTAGTATAAAAACAGGTAGTTCTTTAGAGCTCGCTGTGGTAAAAGAGGAAAAGGGTGAGATGAAGTGGATGGGGGATTCTTCAAAAAAACAATGATAAGGGTGTAGTTTTAGACTGGCTATTTATAGTGAGTTTGGCTTAATCCAATTGGCTTACTAATGATTACGGATGGGAGACCAGCCACAATCAATCATATCATGTGCTCCTCTTGAAATTAGTTTGTGAAACTTCACTTGGTTAGATTTAGGTTGTGATGTCAGGTTACCAAAATTCAATGTCTAGCCAGTGTTAATGCTATTTTGGCGTCCAATAATGATGTTGATATTTAGTTGAGTTTAGGTTGTGTTGGAAATGGATTAAAATTCAACTTGGAGCCAAAATCCTAAACCAGCGTTATATTGACGTCAAATACTGACATTTAAGTTCGGCAACTAAAATGTAACGTCTGATAGACGTCACAGGTAATACTGTGATACTACTATGTATACTCAATACTCAATACAATACTACTCAATACTGTGATAACGACCACACAACGGCAAGCTGTAACATCATTAGATGTTGATATTTGGTTGATTTTTTTGGTTGGATGTTGGACATTGACGCCGACCTGATGTTGGGTTCTGACATCAACATGATTTTCTTTTCCAAACTAAATGCAAACTAAATCCAAACTAAATGCAACATCGTACCCAGGATGTTGGTGTACAACGTCAATCTGACATCATGTTGATGTCCTGTGCCTGCTGGGATCATTTCATGATGTTTACACCAAATTGTGGCCCTACCAGACAAATGTTGCAGCAAAATTAGACTCATCAGACCAGGCGACCTTTGTCAAATTTCTGTTGTACATTTTTGTGATCCCGTGCCTCAGTTTACTGTTTTCAGCTGACTGTATAGTGACACCAGTGTTTTCTTCTTCTGCCGTAGCTAATCTGCTTCATAACCATGACATGTTTTGACTTCAGAGATGCTATTTTGTAAACTTTGGTTCTAAAGAGTTGATTTGAGCTCAATCAGCTGCTGTTTATTTTTATTTTTAAAGGGATAGTTCACCCAAAAAGGAAAATTCTGTCATCAATTACTCACCTTTAACTTGTTCCGAACAAGTTTTAGTTGTTGTGATTTTTAATTTGTTGATTACACACACACACACACACACACACACACACACACACACACACACACACACACACACACTATATATATATATATATATAATTATTATTATTATTTTATTTATTTATTTATTTACTTTTGAAGAATGTTGGAAACCCTTAACTATTGATATCCACTAGACCGAAAAACAAATTCTATGGGAGTCAATAGTTACAGGTTTCCAACATTCTTTAAAATATCTTCTTTTGTGTTTGACAGAAGAATTCGAAACTGTCAAGGATTGAACGCAGTACACAAAGACCATTTATTTTGCATTTTTCCCTTTAAATAATCATTCTTCTTCATTCTGATTGTTGTTTTGAACTTCATACAGAACAGCAGATCACATTTACTATGTCAACATGAACATCGTTGCTGCTATGTGATTGGCTCTCTATAATTTTGCAATGACAAGTATTCAAATGGGGCGAGGCAGTGGCGCAGTAGGTAGTGCTGTCGCCTCACAGCAAGAAAGTCACTGGGTTGCTGGTTCTAACCTTGGCTCAGTTGGCGTTTCTGTGTGGAGTTTGCATGTTCTCCCTGCCTTCATGTGGGTTTCCTCCAGGTGCTCCGGTTTCCCCCACCGTCCAAAGACATGTGGTACAGGTGAATTGGGTAGGCTAAATTGTCCGTAGTGTTTGAGTGTGTGTGAATGTGTGTGTGAATGTTTCCCAGAAATGGGTTGCAGCTGGAAGGGCATCCGCTGCGTAGAAACTTGCTGGATAAGTTGGCGGTTCATTCCGCTGTGGCGACCCCGGATTAATAAAGGGATTAAGCCGACAAGAAAATGAATGAATGAAGTATTCAAATGAGTATAGGTAAAAACATGACCTTGGAGTGTGTTTATTCCTGCTTTAAGCATTAAATGATTTGATCATTTATGTCTTCAAATCTAAATGGTGTTAAAAGATTGTACAGGTGAAGTTTCTCTTCATGGCCTTGTAGATTATCAACAGGCCTGGATTTGAGGAGCTGGTATTTGCTTGTTTGCTAAAGTTTATCATAGACTGTTGGTTGTGTTTTTCAGGGTAAGGAATATGCACGTCGCTCTATCCTAATGGACAATGACACACACATGACGTACTACTATAAAGACGCTCTGACACTGTATGAGTTTTTCTTACGAGGACTACGAGTGTCAAGTGAGTTATCCGGCCATTTAAAGCAGACATTGTGACAAAGGAATAGTTTAAAATAAGCTATTAAAATGGTTAAAATCATGATCTACATTTTTGTTTTACTCACACAGACAATGGTCCTTGTTTGGGGTCGCGAAAGGCAGGCCAGCCATATAAATGGCTGTCGTATAAGGAGGTAAGATTTGTGAAATAATTATTGACCTAATTGCAGAACGCATTTAGCTTTTTATTTTTCTCTCTATATTTTTTATTCCCTTAATATTTAGATATTATCAGATATGTATGTGCATTGTAATTATTAATCAGTTGTTATTACTTTATTTTGATGCTCTCTTTAACACATTTTGTTGATCGTTGGTTACATTGCAACTACGTTCCAACTAATTCTCAGTAGAGTATTAGTAGGCTGTAAGGTTTGGGTTAGTGTAAGTTGACATATTTGAAAGGTTTGTTATTATCGGTTGAATGTCTGTTGATGGTGTGGTATCAGCAGATATTGAGCAGACAGTCTTATAATCTAATTAGTTGGCATATAGTAGTTGCAATGCGACCTAAAGTCAATAAAATGTTCAAAAAGAACCAACAAATAAATGACAGCAATTAGTTTAGTATTTTTGTGTGTAGGTTGCAGACAGGGCAGAGTTTGCAGGTTCAGCTTTACTCCACAGAGGTCACAGTCAATCAGGAGACAAATACATTGGCATCTTCGCACAGAACAGACCGGAGGTATTAACACCCAGCAAGTAAAAACACGCACAAAGGCTTGGCATTTATAATAAATATTGTTTGTAGTGAATACTTTCTCTTTCTTTTATACCTCTGTTTGTCATCCTAGTGGACGATTTCAGAGTTGGCATGTTACACATATTCACTGGTGGCAGTGCCACTGTATGACACACTGGGTACAGAAGCCATCAGCTACGTCATTGACAAAGGTGATTCTTTAGGATTCTGTGCAGTAGTGTTTTTAATCATAAAACATATATGATATGACACATATAATGATAAAAATATCCTCTTTTATTGTTATTTACAGAGCAATGTTTTGTGTGTGATTCTGGAGTAACTATTTTTTTTTTTTTTCACTGGAAAAGTAACTAAAACCTGTGGCTTAACTGACCCCATCATTTATTCACTCTCAAGCCATCTTTGGAGCATATGACTGTCTTCTTTCAGATGAGCACAATCTGAGTAGTTTTCATTTTATTTTTGGCTCTTATGTACTGTATAATGATGTTGCGTAGTGGGCTCTTTTTTGCTTCTAAAAGCACATACATCTGTTGTAAAGCTAACTCATTCATTATACCAGTGGTGGCATGGCATGGCATGGTTGTTGGTGCCAGACAGGCTGGTCTGAGTATTTCGGAAACTGCTGATCTCTGAGGAATATTTCCAGTATCTTGTTGAATAGATGCCACAAAGGATTAATGCAGTTCTCAAGTCAAATGTGATCTGTGTTTACCAGCAATCTGCACAGGCTGGATTGCTGCTATTCGTGACAACGGTGTTACACCAGAAGTCAGTCAAGAAGTGCACATTCGGTAGTTGCCGGTATTCAGTGATTTGAGTTTATAATTAAAAAATGACACATCAGTCAGCTTAAGATGTCCGTTATCCCCCTGGTGGTGTATGGGTTAATTTTACAACACATTATTGCACTTTTGTAAACTTAAAATGCAAATGGAAAAGCCAGGATGAAATTTAAAACTACTTTAACTGTGCTCATCTGAAAGACAAAAGTCATACACACCGTGGATGGCTTAAGGGTTAAGTACATTACAGTTAAATTGTCATTTTTGGATTAGCTAACTCATTAAATAATTAAATAATGGCTTAAAGCTTGTATCACATGACTGCACAAAAACAGTAAAACTTGTGAGAAATGTGTTTTGAGTAACAGAGCTTTTGTCGTAGCTTCCATCACCACCATCATCTGTGACATCGCGGATAAAGCTCGTCTGATCCTGGACTGTGTGTCTGGCCGGAAGCACAGCGTCACGACTATAGTGATCATGGAGAGCTTTGACAGTGAGCTGACAGCACAAGCACAAAACTGTGGCATCGACATTATCAGCCTCAAGGAGCTGGAGGTTTCTCTCCCACACGCACACACACACACCCTTCTTTTGTAAATAGTGATCCCATTAAACGTGTATTTACACTGCACTAAATAAAGTCTTTTTTTTTCAGGCTATTGGCAAAGCAAACCACAAGACACCCATTGTAAGTTAAACTGAGCACTGTATTGATTTACAGACATGCAACATTGTGTTCTGTATACTTGGTGCAATGTGGCCCTAGGCGCAGGGCAAGTGCTTTTGGCTAGTTTCGACCTGTTGCAGTTATCATTTTCATGTTTTATGCCACCCTTTGATGCTTACGATAACATTGATGTGATCAGTAAACTGATTTTTAACAGACTTAATCGTTTATTTTATTTTCAATTGTGTAATGTTTGTTATGCATTTTATTATTTGAAGCTAGTTTCCTCCTCATATTTGTAAGCGTTGTTTGGGACGTTTCCCTTATTTTTATATACCAATGTTGACAGGTATGGTTTAATCACTTGCTTTTCTGAAACACAAAGACCTACTCTATCGCACAGTAGGCAGATCTAATTTCTTATTTAAGTATTTAAATCCAATTTATATATTTAAAATACAAGTTAATACTTTGCATTTAAGTACAGCAGTTTTTTTTACTTTTTAAAAACTGTGCAAATTTTAATTAACCTTTAAAAGCTCATTTTAATTTAAATGTTGACGTTTTATTTTTTCACCTGTAAGCACTGTGCAGTGTTAATGTTTATAATGTTTAAAGTGGCAGACAATAATAAATATTCATAATAAGAATTAATCTGCCAGATTTTTGAACTGTGCAGAGCCGTAGCTGCTTTATTAGGCCTACTATGCTACTGTACTTCAATACCGGTCATTATAGTGGTACTTGGAGAGACTTTTTTTTTTTTGAGGTGGTACTTGGTGAAAAAAGAACCACTGCTTCAGACCATTTGCTTAAATAGTTAAATTAGAGTCCTATATTTGAATAACATATGGTTTTATTTAGTCACTGTATAATTTCTTTTTTTTTAACATCACAGTTATTTAATTGATGCTTTTTTTAGCCTCCTAAACCTGAAGACCTGGCACTGATTTGCTTCACGAGTGGAACTACAGGTATTAGATTATATATTTAATGTGTTGTAGCATTGATTTATCTATTCTGAGAATAATTTTGTAGTGATATGCATTTTGATGAAAGAAAACTACGTACAAACATGGCTTCAGCACTTTTAGCACACAGCTTCGTGCATTCCTCTTTCTGTCAGATTTTGCCATTGGTTTGCTGACATGTTTTGGCATCTTTAAGGACTCCCATCTGGAGAATAAATGTATCTGATGTCTTATCCCGATAGGAAATCCAAAGGGAGCGATGCTCACACATGGAAATGTTGTTTCCAATTGTTCTGCTTTCATTAAAATTACAGAGGTAAGCCAAGAGATTTCTTCGCTTCTGTGTCCTTTATAATTTATTGTAGCCTTATCTTTCTTGGCAAAAAAAATACAAAGAATCACAGCAAATGAGATTCAGATGACAAGTCAGATGTGTATGGATTGGAAGCTCTTTCTGAAACTGAATTAAAAAGTATAACAGATCATTTCTTCATGAGTGGTGATACAGAATCTAGTTATCTGGACAATTGTGAGAAATAAAAGTTGGAATTACAATGAAATAGTAATTCTGTCTTTTCTCCTTGCAGTTCTAAATTTGTTCCTCAGAATTAGGAAATATACATTCACCGGCCACTTTATTAGGTACACCTAACTTGTACTGGGTTGGACCCACATTTGCCTTCAGAACTGCCTAGATTTAACAAGGGACTAGAAATATTGCTAAGAAGTTTTGGTCCATATTGACATTATAGCATCATGATAGTTGCTGCAGATTTGTCGTCTGCTCATCCAAGATGCGAATCTCCCATTTCACCTCATCCCAAAGGTGCTCTATTGGATTGAGACCTGGTGACTGTGGAGGCCATTTGAGTAAAGTAAACTCATTGTCATGTTTAAGAAACCTGATGATTCCTGATTAATGACATGGCACTTTATCCTGTTGTGGTAATAAAGGGTAAGACATGGTCAGCAACAATACTCAGTTAGGCTGTGGCATTGGCACGATGCTCAATTGGTACTACATTACACCACTACCACCAGCCTGAACTGTTGATACAAGGCAGGATGGGTCCATGCTTTCATGTTGTTGATGCCAAATTCTGACCCGATCGTCCGAATGTCGCAGAAGAAATCGATACTCATCAGACCAAGCAATGTTTTTCAAATTGTCTATTGTCCAATTTTGGCGAGCCTGTGTGAATTGTAGCCTCAGTTTCCTGTTCTCAGCTGACAGGAGTTACACCTGGTGTGGTTTTCTGCTGCTGTAGCCCATCTGCCTCAAGGTTGGATGTGTTGTGCGTTCAGAGATGCTCTTCTGCATAGCTTGGTTGTATTGAGCCATTATTTGAATTACTGTTGCCTTTCTTTCAACTCAAACCAGTCTGGCCATTCTCCTCTGACCTCTGGCATCATCAAGGCATTTCCACCAGAACTGATGCTCACTGGGTATTTTCTCTGTTTTGGAACATTCTGTTTCTAAAGTACTCAGACACCAACCACCATGCCATGTTCAAAGTCACTTAAATCACCTTTCCCATTCTAATGCTCTGTTTGAACTGAACTGCAGCAGATCATCTTGACCATGTCTACATGTCTAAATGCATTGAGCTGCTGCCATGTGATTGGCTAATTAGAAATCTGTGTTAACGAGCAGTTGGACAGGTGTACCTAATAAAGTGGCCGATGAGTGTAGTTCTGAAATCCAATTCTGATGGAAAAAGCAGACAATTCTTTTTTTACAATCTTAAGTTAAGTAACTTACTGACCAGATCAATTCTTCTTTCTTTCTGTTTGTTATATTAGGCTCTTGTGCTTCATTTCCTCATCTAATTGTCTGTCTCTTGTTCTTCCTCTCTCATGTCCTGTGTGTGGATGTGTGTATATGTTTGTGTGGATGTGTGTATATGTTTGTGTGTGTGTGTGTGTGTGTGTGTGTGTGTGTGTGTGTGTGTGTGTGTGTGTGTGTGTGTGTGTGGTCAGGAGTCCCTGAAACTTTGTCCTCAAGATGTTCTCATCTCCTTCTTACCACTAGCGCATATGTTTGAAAGAGTAGTCGAGGTACGCTGTATTTCACACTGCCCATGTGTTTGTGTGTGTGTGTGTGTGTGTTTTACAGGTTCATTGCATGCTTAACCAGACAGATATTCACATTTCTTACCTACCACTAGCGCACATGTTTGAAAGAGTGGTCGAGGTATGTATTATGGATGCACACAGTCATTAAACCGTTATTTATTATTCAGTTATTATATATATACATATATATGTCTGTATGTGTGTGTGTGTGTGTGTGTGTGTGTGTGTGTGTGTGTGTGTGTGTGTGTGTGTGTGTGTGTGTGTGTGTGTGTGTGTGTGTGTGTGTGTGTGTGTGTATATATATATATATATATATATATATTTTTTTTTTTATAAACAAATGTCTTGTCGTCGATCCCAGTTGTAAGAGCAACAAATAATAACTTGATCTAGTTGATCATTTGGAAAAGTGTCAGAAGTTAGATTTTTTCTGATGAATCATCTGTTGAACTGCATCCCAATAATCACAAATACTGCAGAAGACATATTGGAACCCGCATGAAGCAAAGATTCTCATAGAAATCAGGCAAGTTTGGTGAAAGAAAAAAATTATGATTTGGGGTTACATTCAGTATGAGGGCATGCGAGAGATCTGCAGAGTAGGTGGCAATATGAACAGTCTGAGGTATCGAGGCATTTGTGCTGCCCATTACATTACAAACCACAGAAGAAGGCAACATCTTTAGCAGGATAGCGCTCCTCATACTTCAGCCTCCACAAGTTCCTGAGAGCAAAAAAGGTCAGTGTTCATGGATATTTTATTTTGGTAAAATAAATGCAATTTAGAGGCCTTTGCCTTTCATATAAGCCACTTCTGATACCAAATGATCAACTAAAAGTCAAGTTATCATTAGTGTCATTAAAACTTGGATAGGTGACAAGACTTTTGTCAGGTAGTGTATAAACTAAACACATTCTTTTATTTTAAATCCATTTGGAATGCAATTAGAGTCACTCAAACAAACGTTTTGAACCTTGCCCAAATAAGAAAGGCACATGAGTACAGAGCATTTTAGTTTTGGTAAACAAATTAATTAAATCGAAAACTTGTTTGTTTATATTGATGTTTATAATGTCTCTATACTTTTTTTTACTAATATTTTGATTATTTTTGTTCAGTGTAGTGGTAAATTTAAAAGATTTTTTGTATACTGTGGAAACTTAAAAAATGTAATATGTAATGAATTTTCTGAATTAATAAAAATGTGATCTATCAGATTTTTCTTTCTCAACAATTTACAAATAGATATTGAAAAACAAAAAAATGAGTACTTTTAAAATTAAAAAACGAACAGCTTGTTTTTCTTTTTTTATGGTGGAAACCAAAAATTTAAAATTGATTTAGCTTTCTTTTTTTTTAATAATAAAAAATAAAATAACCAGAAAACAAAAACTAAAAAAGGCTTGTTTTTTTATATTCCGAAACCAGATAGGCCAACTCATTTATGGTGGTGCAATGCTGACCTGCTAGGCTACTATATAGGCTATTGTTTTTTTTTTCCACTTAATAAGGTAATAAAAGGTATTTTCTTGGTGTAAATGGATTTTGCTGAGACATATTTTCTTTATTAAGACAACATATTTCTTGTAAAAGGGCCGGTTATAGGCTATATATTAATTTGTTAGCATGTCTTGGTTAAAGTGACTGTATGTATGAATTTACATGTATTCATCTATTTTATATTGGCTATGTGTGGACAATTTAAAATGAAATTATACATGTGTGTGTGCTTATATTTAACATTCTCACATGCTATTCTGAATTTCATTGCATAATTTTAGTTTATGTGTGTAGGGTGTGCTTCTGTGCCACGGGGCCAAGATTGGGTATTTTCAGGGTGACATCCGTCTCCTTATGGATGATTTGAAGAATCTTAAGCCCACTATATTTCCCGTAGTCCCAAGACTACTCAACCGCATGTTTGATAAGGTACGTCGGTTTAGTTAATCATACATAAGCTGTTTGCATTTCTGTTTGATAAACATTCATGTGTTTGTGTGTGTGTTATATGTGTTTGCGTTTAGATTTTTGGCCAGGCGAACACTCCTCTTAAAAGATGGCTGTTGGATTTTGCCACCAGCAGGAAAGAAGCGGAACTAAAAAGTGGAGTTGTGAGGAAGGACAGCATGTGGGATAAATTAATCTTCAGCAAAGTGCAGGTAACCAGACAAAACTGAAGATCACCTTGAGGGCATTCAAGGAAAACAGTGAGCATTAGACATGGGATGATAACAGTTTTCAAGGTATACTGCAGTTTGGAAAAATTTTTAAAACTGCCAAAATTTTCTGCTACACCATTCCTATGGTATGTTTAAGATTTTTTTTGTACATTTTTTTAGGACAACAGTATCTCCAGCAGAAAAGATATCCAAAGATGCCGTCTTAAATTATGAAACATCTGAGTTTTGGAACCTAATGAAGAGAGCAGAAGTCTGTGATTCATTTGAATGATTTAGCCTGACATGTTTACTGCTCCAAAATATCATAAATGTTTCTCAAAATAAAATATATTGTGTTCAAAAAGCGTTTAGTTTTACCCAGACATTTAAAAAGAACAGATTTTAGAGCAGTGATCACAATACTGTGATACCGTGATAGTTTTATCCAAGGTTATCATACTGTCTGAATCTTATACCAGCCTATGTCTAGTGAGCATAATAGTGTTTAATGTTTTGAATGAAATCTCTCAGGGGTTGCATGTAGACTGTGAAAAGCAATGTACCAAGTACTGAGTCTTGTGGTACTCTGGTCGTAACTCCTGACTGGAATTCCTTGCAGAAAACATTTCTTTCCCAGAACGATTATAATTGTTTTTTCATGGATAAGGCGGATTTGAAATTGATCAGTAATGGTGTCAGTTTTGTTTTGCCTTTAAATGTTGGGGTTTTATTTTAGTCTTAAAGTGTCTGCAACCATTAACTTGCATTTTATGAAATTCTAAGGTCTGTTACTTAAGCTAAAAGTCATCTTTAATATTCTGTTGGAAAAAGTAGCTCTTCTCTTTTTTTAAAGGGTTAGTTCGCTTAAAAAATAAATGTACTCACTCATTACTCATCAAGTGGTTCTATACCTTTATGAGTTTCTTATGTTGAACACAAAAGATGATGTTTTGAAGAATGCTGGTTGCCTGCACCTATCCACTTCTATACTAGGAAAAATAGATACTTAGGAAGTCAATGGTTACTGGTTTTCAGAATTTTTAAAAATATATTCTGTTGCTTTCAGCTAAAAATGAAACACCACAAGGTTTTAAATGAGTAAATGATGACAGAACTTACATTTTTGGGTGTTCTATTCCTTTACATTTTTGTTTAAATTATCGTTTTACAGTTTTTCTCACTCACTTTGGTTCATTTCTCTGATCAGAATTAAAATTTGTCATTTTTTAAACAACGTGTACAAATAGCAAAGCACCATGGTGTTCCTGCAAACACCAGTCTCTTGCTCAAAATCCTTAGTTCATCTTTTAAAATTAAATATATTTGTCAATGACGTGTCAGTGCCGTCAGAATGACTAGGCCTTGGGTCATTGTGTGCAAATAAGACAGTCAAATTAATGTTTCAATTACAAAAGTGTACTCTACTCTACTGCTTTTTTGATGCGCACAAGTGTCACAATGATCTGATGATTGAACAGGTCTTGTAGTTTTGAGGATTTCAATTCTAATCTGAGAAATGAACCAAAGTGAGTGAGACGAGCAGATTTTCTTAAACTCCTGTGACTCCCCCTACAGGCCAGTCTTGGTGGGCGCGTGAGGCTGATGATCACAGGAGCTGCTCCAGTGTCTCCAACCGTCCTCACTTTTCTGCGAGCAGCACTGGGCTGCCAGGTACACACACACACACACACACACACACACACACACACACACACACACACACACACACACACACACACACACACACACACACACACACACACACACACACACACACACACACACACACACACACACACACCTCCTGCTACCAGTATTGTGATCAGACTTTCAAGTTACATCTTTTTTTCTATTGTTTGTTGTAGTTTTATGAAGGTTACGGGCAGACAGAGTGTACTGCAGGCTGCACAATGTCACTTCCTGGAGACTGGACAGCCGGTAAGACTCAATCTGCACACATTAACATGTTTAAAAAATAAACAGCTGGACAGTTGTGTCCTGTTTTAACAGACTGTGTGGTAACACACACTATTGTTTTGATGTGTGTCCTCAGGTCATGTGGGAGCGCCGCTGCCCTGTAACTTTGTTAAGCTGGTGGATGTAGCTGAAATGAATTACTTTGCTGCAAATGGAGAGGGAGAGGTAGGTCACCAGTGCAAAAGTAAAGCAGTTTGCGGGGTTACATTCAAAGTTTGGATCTAAAGACTACTTTTGTGCTTTTATTTCTAAGCTCTTTTAAGAGTAAATTAGACTGTTAGCAGACTTCCAGAATTTCATGCAAATCAGACATTGAAAATCAGGGAGTTTGATGTACTTTCCATTCATCAACAACGGTATTTTTTTCTATGCCCTGTTTTCTTTCTTTTTAATTGGTTTAACATGTTTAGCTTTTTCTGATGGTTCCGTTATTTACCATTTACCATTTTAAACCTTTCCAACGTTCATTCATTCTCCTTCAGCTTAGTCCCTTATTTATCAGGGGCTAACACAGCAGAATGAACTGCCAACTATTCTGGCACATGCTTTACACATCAAATTTTTTTCCAGTTGCAACCCAGTACTGGGAAACACCCATACACTATCACATTCACACTCACACACTACAGCAAATTTCATTTACCCAATTTACCTATAGCGCATGTCATTGGACTGTGGGGGAAACCAGAGCACCCGGAGGAAACCCACACAGAGATGGCATGTCTAGCAATTACCAGATGAGCACTTTCTTGATGTGAATGTTTTATATGAAATAAAATTATAATGCGGATGGCATGGAAGGAATTTAAAGTGTCTTTGCTGCAATTTAAATAAAATTGCTTCACATTTTGCACCATTTGCCAAAGTTTGCAGCACTTCTGCAGCAGTAAATAAAATCTGCCAAACTTTGCCTCATTTGCTTGATTTTGAATTAAATTCTATGAAAAGCAGAATCCCGTAATTCTCAGGGACACAGCAGCTGCCTTTTTTATTTTATTATCAATTATAGGTCATGGACATTCAGCTATTTAGTCGATAAAAGTCGTGGAATTGGCATATAGTTTCATATTTACAAATTAGTATCAGAATACAAAGACAACATCAAGCTAATGGTCATCAGTCAGTCATCATTGGGCTGTTGTTGAGTGTTGGTCACTTCAGTGTTTGCTGTGTTCTGACTTTTGGCTGATCAAACATGGTGAATCTGCATCAGTTGGCGCCAGTGAGAGAGTGAACGCCAAACTTGTTTAGAGACTTGGTCACAAGAGTAAAAGTAAAAGCAATGAAAGCAAGCAAATTATTAATAACATTACAGACTGAAAGCTATTCTAACGTTACACCATCTGAACTGAGCATTTCATTAAGCAGAGATTTTATTACAAGATGAAGCATCTGGAATAAATTAAGTGATCAATATTATTAGTTCTGAAATGGTCAGAGAGTGCTGCGTTGTTTAGTTTGTATTAATGCAGTTCTTGTTTCATTTTGACTTTTTGAATTATAAATATTCCACTGATATCTGCTGGTGTAGAGACTCATTTCCTCTTTTGCAGACACACAGTATTTCTGCTAGTTTGCTGTGGTGTTTTTTAGTTCTAGCATACATTTTAGTTTATTTCTGTCAGTTTGCAAGTGCATCAAAATAATAATGTAATCATAAAAACTATTTCATACAAATGAATCTCTTAGTTATGATGAAAATTAAATTGACATTTCACCCAAAAAATCGAATTCTTTCATCATTTAGCTATTCTCCATTTGTTTCTTTTGTTGAACACACGCTGAAGAATGGTGGGGAAAACACCCATTGATTCCATAGTATTTTTTGTTCCTTCTATGGATGTCAATGGCTGCTTTTTTTTCCTCAGAATATTTTATTTTGTGAAATAAATTCATAAAAGTGTAATACAACATTATTTAGAAATAAAAACAAATTGATGAACTATGCCTTTAATAGATGGAGTTTTAGTTGATGCACAAAAATACTTTGTCATGACTCTAGCAATTATTTAATTAATAAACAATTATTATTTTAATTATTTAACATTGTAAATTTGCAGTGGCACTCTGAGTTGCCTGACTCTGTGTGTGTGTGCTCTTCACAGGTGTGTGTGAAAGGACCAAATGTGTTTCAAGGTTACCTGAAAGACCCGGAGCAAACCTCAGGGGCTGTGGATAAAGCCGGCTGGCTGCACACCGGAGACATTGGCAAATGGCTTCCGGTAAATTCCACATCCACTTTCAGCACTTACTATCTGAATTTAGTCTGTCAAATGTTTTTTAATGTTTTCAGTGCATTAATTTAAAAGCTGCTTTTCCACTATCCTGCTGAGAAGAGTCAAGTGTGGTTCCAGTTCCAGTGAGCCTGTTATGGGTGGCATGATAAACTGTTCTCGGCTTGGTATTCTACTGGTAGAGTCTTGAACTGGTGACGCATGACATTGGCTGGCTACTAGTTTTTCCATTGCACAGGAAATGCAGTTTTTTGTTTTTTTGTTATTCAACAAAGTCAATATCAAGAAAAAATGAATCCCCGAAACTTAAACATCTGTTCATAATCCATCTTGCTGTTTAAATGACACTTGCATTAACTTTTACGACTGACACATTTGTATCGCGTTCCAGAGAGCTCCATGACCCGCATTTCAGTAGAAAATAAAACGTATCCATGCTGACTGGTTCAGATTGGCATTCATTTCAATGGTTACGCAAAGAGAACCGTTCTGCCTGAATGTGGGATATAGAAATGTAGAAATCTGATACATGGAAATACATGCAAATTAAATATATACAAGTTCACATTTGAATTTTACATATAAAATATATGTCATATATGCAGCATATACTGTATTTCAAATTATTTCAAACAATATAGCAATGGCCATATTTGAACATATATAAAATTAAAGCTTATATAATTAAAAATAGTTGGTATTCCAATGGTTGAAAAAAAAAAAGAAAAAAAAAAAAATATATATATATATATATATATGAAAGTGGCCATTTTTACAGTATGTAAATGCATGTGTCGTATGTAGTTTGCATGTATCAGATTTCTATAATAGATTTCTAATGTTTGCGTTTAAAGGGAACAAAACGCTCCACTTTATCATTAAGCATTTATATATTTGTTTGTTTCAGAATGGCACTCTGAAGATTATCGACAGGAAGAAACACATTTTTAAGCTGGCTCAGGGTGAATACATAGCTCCAGAGAAGATTGAGAACATCTACATCCGCAGTGACCCTGTGGCTCAGGTCTTTGTGCATGGAGACAGTTTGCAGGTGAGAGACACTCAACTGTCGTGTTTTATTTTTTACATTATTGCACATCCCTATGTAGGAAGAACGTCCAGTGTTCTCCAACGCTGAGGAGAAATGGTCATGCCCGACTGAGCCTGGTTTCTCTAGAGGTTTTCTTTTTCCTTCACTTTTGTCAATTGGTGAAGTTTTGTTCCTCGCCACTGGCTTGCTTGGTTTGGGACTTCCCATCGATGGATTTGCTCTTCAGTGTTTGAACTTTCAGCAGTGAAATTTAAACCACACTGAACTGAACCAAAACTGAACTTCAACTCTGAAAACTGGACTAACACCATCTCATTTACTAAAACCTCTATGTTAAGCTGCTTTGACACAATCTACATTGTAAAAGCGCTGTAGAAATAAAGATGAATTGACTTCAAAAGAAGTGTGAGAATAGAATATATGTGAGCATAAACCCATCCTGTTTCTCTCTTTTTAGGCATGTTTAGTGGGTGTTGTGGTTCCTGATCCAGACTTTTTGCCAGGATGGGCAAAGAATAGAGGCATTGAGGGATCCTTCAATGACTTGTGCAAAAGCAAGGTAAAACACGGAACACAGAAAAAAGACGTTTACAAGATCTGGATTCAGCATAGTAGAGTACAGATAATAGTGTTCAGAGGTTTACTACCATTTTCAGCTAAAACATTTAATTGAAGAAATGGCTCCATTGGGGCATTACAAGTGATGCAAATTACTGTATATAATAGAATGACATTTCTAAGTAACTATAAAGTAAATGAATTAAAATTAGTCACAATGATTGTAGTCATAAGCAGTCAATGAAAGAATGTGCTCAATATTTTGAACGCATCGAGGAAAAGGGGATTGTCTTAATGGACAGTGATTTATCTTAAGATAAATAGTAGAAAAGAAGCAAACACATTGCTTTAAACTTTCATTAATCTGTGTATACACCGGCATGAAGAGCTCTGAGGTCAGATAACATTATCCTAAAATATATATTTGATGTGTTTTGTCAAAGGTAAATGAATGTGTAGGGTATACACAGTGCATTGTTAATTGCAGAAGTTCTGAAAGAAATTAAGTGTCAGACAGGTGATGATAAGTATTGCAAAAGTAACGTAACGCATTACTTACTATAATAAGTAACCAAGTAACACAACTAGTTACTTTTTGGGAGTAACTCAATATTGTATTGAATGACTTTCAAAATTAACTTTCCTCAACACTGAATACCATATTAAAGAAAGATTAAGGATTTAAGATCCTGAGATATTAAAAGCGATGTTATGTTTGAGCGCTGTTTGCCATCCTTGAAGTACTGACACCTGATGTTGTTTCAACAGGAGGTGAAAAATGCCATCCTAGAGGATATGATTCAGCTTGGGAAAGAAGCTGGACTGAAGTCTTTTGAACAGGTGAGTGCAACAAAACTCATTTTCTAGGTTTCTGTTAATATCTTGATTTGTTTTTTTTATTATTATTGTAAAACTTAATCCAAATGTCATAATACAAACATACCAGAGTATAGGTTTTCAACCAGGTTCAAGGTTGTCCAAAAAAAACAGAATATTTAATATTCATTCATTCATTCATTCATTTTCTTTTCGGCTTAGTCACTTTATTAATCCGGGGTTGCCACAGCAGAATGAACTGACAACTTATCCCGCATGTTTTTACGCAGTGGATGCCCTTCCAGCCACAACCCAATCTCTGGGAAACATCCACACACACTCATACACTATGGACAATTTAGCCTACCCAAATCACCTGTACCACATGACTTTGGACTGTGGGGGAAACCGGAGCACCCGGAGGAAACCCACGCAAACGCAGGGAGAACATGCAAACTCCACACAGAAACGCCAACTGACCCAGCCAAGGCTCGAACCAGCGACCTTCTAGCTGTGAGGCGACAGCACTACCTACTGTGCCACTGCGTCACCCAAAATATTTAATATAGCTTATTTAATCATTTATATACTAAATGTAATTATTCATATGTTCAATACTATCTAGACATAAATGATAAGATTGTATTATTAAAACTAACCATTAAAATAATATTCACATATCTCAGTTTAACATCATATGAATTGAGAAATCTGGTCAACACTTCATTCATTCATTTTCTTTCCTATCACTGGGAAACCCATACACACTAATTCACACACATACTGTACACTACAGACAATTTTTAGCTTTCTTAATTCACCTATACCGCATGTCCTTGGACTTGTGGGGAAAACCGAAGCACCCGGAGGAAACCGGAGGAAAAATACGCAAATGCGAGAAGAACATGCAAACATGCAAACTCCACACAGACACGCCAAGTGACCCAGCCGAGACTCGAACCAGAGACCTTTTTGCTGTGAGACAACAGCACTACCTACTGCGCCATCTCGTCGCCCTGGTCAACACTTTTTTAGTGTTTATTTCATAATTACACTATACATAGCATACTAAGGGCGTCACGGTGGCGCAGTAAGTAAAACTATCACCTCAAAGCAAGAAGGTCACTGTTTCAAGCCTCGGCTGGGTCAGTTGGCATTTCTGTGTGAAGTTTGCATGTTCTCCACGTGTACACATGGGTTTCTTCCGGTTTCCCCCACAAGTCCAAGGACATGTGGTACAGGTGAATTGGGTAAGCTAAATTGTTCGTAGTGTATGTGTGTGAACGAGTGTGTATGGATGTTTCCCAGTGATGGACATTCGCTGTGTAACACATATGATGGATAATCTGATGGTTCATTCCACTGTGGCCACCCCAGATTAATAAAGGGACTAAGTGTGAAAAAAATTTGAATGAATGAATAATATTCTAAACTACACATTTATAATCATTTAATATTAATAAACACAATGTTAATACAATTAAGTCATATTTGGAGATTTAAACAGCTGATGATGGGCAGACAGTGATGAAATGGCCTCCACAGAGTCCAGAACTCAATATTATTGAGGTGGTATGAGAATCATTTGGGCAGAGAAAGAAAGCTCTGATAGCCTAAATTTAAGAATTAACCCTGAGAGGTGCTAGAAAAGGCCTGATATTATTCATTCATTCATTCATTCATTCATTCATTTTCTTTTCGGCTCAGTCTCTTTATTAATCTGGGGACGCCACAGCGGAATGAACCGCCAACCTAACCAGCATATGTTTTACACAGCGAATGCCCTTCCAGCTGCAACCCATCACTTGGAAACAACCATACACATTCATTCACACACATACATTACAGACAGTTTTTATTTAGCTTACCCAATTCACCCATATCACGTCTTTGGACTTTGGGGAAACGGGACCCACGCAAACATATAGGGGAACATGCAAACTCCACACAGAAATGTTAACTGTCAAAGCCAGGGCTCAAACCAGAAATGTTCTTGCTGTGAGGCGATTGTGCTACCCACTGCGCAAACACTGTTTGGTGCCAAGGGGGATCACACTAAATACTGCCTTGTGCTTGAAGTAATCTGGATCTGAATGTTTTTGTTCAAAGTTTGTGTACATAAGCTCTATTTGCTCATATGTTCTAATTACTAATAAATATATACATTATATATTTGTGAAAATCAGAGTTGATAAACTAGACAAGAGACAGAAAAGGTTGATGTTGTGCACCAGTGAGTGTTTAATCTGTTTACTGTAATGTGTGTGTGTGTGTGTGTGTGCAGGTGAGAGACATCGCTCTGCACCTGGAAATGTTCTCTGTTCAGAACGGCCTCCTCACACCAACACTGAAAGCTAAGAGAACCGAGCTGAAGAGCCGCTTCAGAGAGCAGATCGACCAGCTCTATGCCAAAATCAAAATGTGAGCAGCTGGACAGAGACCGAAAGACCCCCCTCCTCCGTCTACACTGACTGAACTACAACACCCCAGAATACACACTTTGACAAAGGAGCTGCTCCAGTTCTGTCATGCTGTTGGGAGTGAAGGACCACTAGTGGACTCTTTTTTTTTTTTTTAATTTTTGTTTTTTTTTCTACCACTTGGAGGAGCTGTAGTCATCCCTCAGCCCCATCAGCAAAGCACATGCCAAACATTTCACCAGCCCTGATCATCATCTGGGACGACAACTGAAGAAAACTGGAAGCTGAACCAACCCAATGCCTTAGGCCGGTCAATGCCTTGAGTCTAATAAGCCAGACGAGATCATATTAATTCACACGACACACTGAAACAGCTGGGGCCTCAGTTATAAAGTCTATGCTCAGATTTGATCTTAGTGTGTGTGCACGTGTGTGTGTGTGCGCTTAAATCCAGAGCTTGTTCATATTTATAAATATATATTAAAAAAAAATAGCGATTCGATTTCGATTAATCGCACAGGTTTGGGAATTCGCCTGCTCAGATCTTGACATGTTAAACATTTCCTGGTGTTCTTTTGCGATTAGCTAATCACAAAAGGGCTGCAATATGAAATATACATGTACTGTATTCTTTAATCTTCCACACCCAGAGCAAATGTGTGACTGTCATCTGGGTGTGACATTCTTACCTGCCAATTGAGTGAGCACACTTTCAATCTGCCCAATTAGAAATCAGAAAAGAAAGAGGAAAGCGCTGACAAGTGAGGTAATGGCGTCTGCTGCTTTAGAAGCATTAATAGATGGATTAATATCAAAGAAAAACAGTACATTGGTAATATGGGAACATTTTGTTTTCAGAGTCACAGCCACCCAACAAAAACAGGTCATTTTTAAGAGCTGTCACAGAATTGTTGCCAATGCTTACAGATTATCGAGCTGAAGCTTGACTACAAAATTAATTCATAATTCAAATCGCAATATCTGTCAGAAAAATCGCAATTAGATATTCTCCCCAATTCACACAGCCCTATCAAAGGAGCTGATAATTTTGCCCTTAAAATTGTGTTTAAAAAAATAAAAATGGCTTTTATTCTTGCCAAAATCAAACAAATAAGACTTTCGCCAGAAGAAAAAATATTATCGAACACTGTGAAAATGTTTTTGATGTTAAACATCATTTGGGAAATTAAAAAAAAAGAAAAAAAGAAAAAAAAATTCAAAGGCGGGCTAAAATTTTTGAATCTAACTGTATATGCACAAATATAATATTGTATAGCTTCCTATTAATAATGAGTTTAAAAGATTAATTTGTGAGGGGTGAACTTTAATATGCTGAGCACTGTATTTGTACAAAATATATGTCAGTATATTAATGGCACACTAAAGACACATTAGTAAAGTGTAAACCAAGGGTCACCGAACTCGGTCCTGGAGGTTTGGTGTCCTGCAGATTTTAGCTCCAACCCTAATCAAACACACCTGAACAAGCTAATCAAGGTCTTACTAGATATACTTGAAACACCCAGGCAGGTGTGTTGAGGCAAGCTGGAGCTAAACCTTGCAGGGACACCGGCCCTCCAGGACCGAGATTGGTGACCCCTGGTGTAAACATAAAGAATGTTTTTATGCGCACATTACTTTTCTCAGATTTGCACTTGCACACTTTTGAGAAATGATCTCAGATCTAATTTAGCAAGGATTCTCTTCATCGTTTTATAAATGAGGCCCCTGACATGCCAAAAACTGCTCATTTTTAAATCACTTACGGCTATTTTCGTCCAAACTAATTTAAATATATCCATTGTGGTTTCCACAACTTCTGTAAATGTATATTTCATTGTAAAAGTTACTGATTGTAACACTGCTTCTGTTATGGTTAACCATGTGTTTGGCATATTGGATGTCTATATATAATTTCCTCAAAATTTTCCATTGACTGTAGAATGACAGCACAAATTGGATTGGTCTTTATTTAATGGTTATTTATATTATAGATCAGTGGTTGATCGTCAGATTCCACTCACAGCACAACCAATTCTAAAAACAACTCAAATGTGCCTCTCCTGGAGATTTAAAGCTTGTGTATATATTATCTATTTATGTTTGTACATCTTTAACGTATTCTGGCTCATTCAAACTGTGCAAATGGTTACTTGTAGCATGCCGGTGCTGAAGACAGAAATAAATTGATGGCGTTGTCTTTTACCAGTGTTTGGTTTTTGTTTGTTTATGCTTTTATTTTGCTTATCAAGATGCAGATGACATTTCCTGTTTTGTTTTGGAAACACTGAAATTGTAGTAATGCTTTAGATATTAAACTGTTCTAAATATGTTTGTCAGTGTATACTTATATTTTCTTGGAATGAGTGAGAAGAGGAACATTAACAATCAAAGTATAACCTCAGTGTGAATGTATAGAACTGCCATTAAGAATCTTTCTATTACATGTTACCAAAAGTACATTCTTTTCATATATTGGGAAGGATTACATTTTAAATGAATGATTGAATATTGTTTCTTTAATTTCAGATGCTTCTGAGTTTTTTTTTCTTTTTACTTGCAAGTTTCTTGATAGACCTGAACATTTTCATTTTGAACACATATAATGTTCTTGAAAGTGAAGACACTAGCATGACTGGCTGTCATTCATTCATTATCAAGCACACACGTAACTGAAAACCCGAAACTCCATTTGAAACAGTTTAGCTTATTATTAAATGGTAATCTTTTTATGTTACTATAACTTTTTTAAACAAGAAATAAATTTATAAAAATATGACAAAATTATTCAGACATTAAATAAAATAAAATAAAAACAAAAACAAATAAAAGCATCTGCTAAATGAGTAAATGCAAAAAACAAAACAAAACAGAAACACTGGTTAACAATAAATATATAATATATTTAGCAAAATACTTTAACATAAAAAGCATGCAGTAAGAGGTTAACTATAGTAAATCTGTGGTAATCAATCTGCTAAAAAACATGGCTACCATATTTTTACTCTAATAAAACCTTATCCAGATAATACAAATGATATTAAAAAGATAACATCTGACAAGCTGCTTTAATGCACTGCAGTAACAAAGCATGTTATAATCTACTGTAGAATACTATTAGTTTAATGATAGAATCTATCAGATATTTTGTTCATCTACCACATGAAAAAGCCAATAAAAGCTACTGCTATTTACAAAAACTATTAAAAATGATCAATCTAAATTATCAAAGATGAATTTCCACAGTTTCCATCCAAAATCTGATTAGTAAAAAACATGAAACCCTTCAGTAACACCAAAGCTCACATGCATTCTCAATGATTTGAGCATGGTCCAGTCAGCCAGTGTACTGCAGAGCTGTTTTATTACATACAAAGGTGGTTTTACATAGAAAAAAACTAACATGTACTATAACCAAGATTGTACAATAAACACAAAAGGTATGTTGTTTTCTATGTACGCATGCATCAGGAAAACACACAATGTATCAGTGACCTCAGCAGTAATAAGTGTACATGATTTCTCACAGATGAATGACATTCATCATCATCTTAAGGGGACAAATTACAGAGCACTCCAGATCAAATACAAATGACCACAAACATTTGTTGACAGCCAATAGACTTCCACTTTAAGTCTAGAAATGTTAGTAGATTTTTTTTAACGTTGTTAGTAAAATACGATGATATAAACGGACCATTCACACAGAAATTACACGTTTGTTCACCCTTTACTGGTTCCAAATATTTAAGAGTTTCTTCTCTTTAAAACAAAAGAAGATATTCTGAAGAATGTTGGAAATGGGTAACTATTGACATCCATAGTAACAAAAACAAATACTATGAAGCCAATTGCTACCAGATTCTAACATTTTTCAAAATATCTTCTTTTGTTCCAGAGAAGAAAGTGTCAAACAGGTTTGGAAAGAATGTCCACAGCTGAAGTTGATATAAACGAATTGTTCACATAAAAATGACACATTATCTCACCCTTTAGTGGTTCCGGATATTTAGATTTTCTTCTGTTTAAAACTAACGAAGATATTCTGAAGAATGTTGGAAATGGGTAACCACTGACATCCATAGTAGGAATAACAAATACTATCAAGTCCACTGTACCAGCATTTTTCAAAATATCTTCTTTTTTGTTCACGGTAAGAACGTAAGTCAAACAGATTTGGAAAGAATGTCCAAAGCTGAAGTTGATATTAACAGATTGTCCACCCAACAATTGCACATTATCTCACCCTTTAGTGGTTCCAGATATTACGAGTTGCTTCTGTTTAAAACTAAAGAAGATAATCTGAAGAATGTTGGAAACGGGTAACCATTGACATCCATAGTAGGAAAAACAAACACTAGGAAGCCAATTGTTTTTAACATTTTTCAAAATATCTTCTTGTTCAATAAAAGAAAGTAAGTCAAACAGGTTTGAAATAAGTGAAGGGTGAGTACATGGTGACAGCTGTATTTTGAGGAGGTGGGAGTTGAACTTTCCTTTAACCCCAAATATTTCTGTAAATAATGCATTTATCGTGTCTCGTGGAAAACTGTAAAAAAGATTTATTCAAAAGGTTTATCAAAATCCCTTCACATGGCTCAGAGAGAGGCACTAGGCAATAGTTATTTCTGACTGTTGCTCTTTGCTTTTCACATTAAAATAGGCACAGCGGTCTCCCTTTGATTAAGATACATCTCCAATATCACTGATTTAACTAATTCAATGCCCATTTATGATTCCCTTTTTAACAGTGCAATAGCATATTAATGCTTATGAAAGTCCCCGATTACTATAACTCTAGAAATCCCAACATCACTTACCTCTGAAGATTGTTCATTACTATTATTATTATTACATCATGAATAGAAAGAACAGAGGCAAGTGAAACCATATAAAGTCACAAGAACACAAAACTGTTTGAGCACCTATTTGCAAGCACAGACCATTTATAACTGTTAGAAAAACACAATAAACCTGAGACTGAGAATGTTCTGCTAATATTTCAGTGGTTCTGAAGAGTTTTGCTGTAAAGAAATGGTCTTATACTCCTAAAGCCAACCCTTAAAAGTGCACATCCTACTTGTGAAACCTACCAAAAACAGCTGCTGACGTTCTCAAAGATTCCCTGGTGGTTTTAAGGAGTGAAGTACATCTCTTTGGTGAGCATTGAGACGATGCAGGGGATCTGTTTCTTGGCATCAAAGCCCGGCATGTTGGAGGTGGACTCAAAATCCAGTGCTACTTTATGGTTGACCCTGGTCATGATCTGCAAGAGCTCCAGTTCACTGCCATACTTTGTCATCATTTCACAAAGTGACTGAATGAACCATGAGCCGGTCATTGTGTTTCTCCAGGAGTAATAACCTTGACAGAGGAAAGAAATTCATTAGGAAAAAGGCATAACTATTCTATGATCAGCAACTTTTTTTAGTAAAACAATTACAGTTTAAGTCAGAATTATCAGCCCCTCTGTATATATTTTCCCCAATTTGTGTTTAACAGAGAGAAAATTTTTTCAACACAATTCTAAACATATTAAGTCTTAATAACTCATTTCTAATAACTGATTTCTTTTATTTTGCCATGATGACAGTAAATATTTTACTAGATATTTTTTAAGACACTTCTAAAAAGAATAAATATTATAGGAAATGTTGTGAAAAATACCTTACTCTATTAATCATCATTTGGGAAATATATAAAAAAAAATAATAATTAAATCAATAAATAAAAATCACAAGAGGGTTAATAATTGTGACTTCAACTATATCTCATTGCTTGGTGGTAGCTTTGTGTTTCCATATTTTAGCATTCTTTTTTATATAAATCAACACTATTGAACAGTCTTTATGTTTGTGGGTTTTACAAATATTTAAGCAATGAAAAGTATTTTAAAAAGCTTGGGTCAACTTGTAGTTTCGGCTTGTTTGCAGTGGATGGGTAAATACCCTAGCTGTTTGAACAAGTACAGTGTTTTCTTTGCTCAAGAAACAATATGTTTGTTAATGCTAATGTTTTATGTGTCTGAAGGGCAGAGAAGAGGCTCCAAGTCTAGAAACTTCCCTTTAGTAAAGA